CCCGGAAAGACTTAACGTCTCCGCCGATAACGTGGACGAAACGACTCGACGGAGCCTCTGACTTCTCCAAGACAAGAACGAAACACGGGAACGACGATTATCCTTGATCCTGGAATCTCCTAGCATCACGAGCCAGCCTCCTTGAGCACCGTCTCTTTTAGCGGACCCGGGGCCCCCCGCGTCACTGCATGTGACCATGGTCACGGCACTCAGGTCCAGGGGCCAAATCGTCAGACAGGAGCTGGCTGTGCACCGGAGGTGGCGAGCTACCTTGTTAGCCATGAGAGCCGAGGCTATCTTGACCTGTGGGCATTCGGCGCTCAGCATCGAGGCGGATCCGGACACGTCGGGACGAGACTGGCGGGCCGCCCAGAGAATCTTCGCCACCAGGCCGCGATAGTCTCGGAGCTCCCTTGCATCGAGCAGCTCCTCGGGACATTTAACACGCTCCTTGTCGAGTCTCATGGGACGGACCTGCTCCAGGATATATTTTTCCTGGTCGACGAGAATGCGCCCATCAGACTGCTGGCGGATCCTTCTCCCTGCGTACTCGGCCTCACCGACCTGCCATTTACCGAAACGGAAACGACCGGTCAACACCTTCTTGAGCTCACTCTCATATGAGGGTTCGCAAGAGACAATAAGATCGTCGACCTCAATCACCACAAGAGCCCTGAGACTACCCGAGGCATGGTGGGCAACCCAAAGACACGGCTCCAAAAGGGAGCGCCGAAACCCCAGGGACTTGAGGTGATTGGTCAAGGTCTGGTGCCAGCGAATCGGAGCATCGTTCAGGCCGTAGACTGGGGCCACAAGTTCCAGGAGGGCCCCCCGGGGGACGTCAACGCCATCGCATGGCTCGACATATATCTTCCCGTTGGGGCGGGAGAGGGGGTCCGCCTGGCAAAAGGCGTTCTTACAGTCCGCTATCTGAAGCCTCCACTTCTTGCCAGCTATCAGCTGGAGAGCAACCAACACAGCCTCCTCCTGAGGAGTCGGAGCGTACACGTGCAGAGACTCCGCGTCAGGATCGGCATACCCCCTCACGCACCAGCGTGACTTTGCCTTCTCGCTGGCTCCCGTGCCCTCCTGCGGCTTCCACCGACGGACCATGCGCGACGAGAGAATCCTTGATGGATCCCTCCGACGGACCAGGGTCGCCTCCGCGGGGGAGACCACTCTCACTGCCTTAGTGGCGGTCATGGCGGACCACTCGGCCGCGTCCGCCTTCTTGAACTCCTCTCGTTCTTCTGGACTGAGTTTGTTCCAGACGACCTCTTGGCCCCGCCGGGACCCACCTGGAGTCGGTCCGGCCGTGGCGAACGAGGAGGTCGGACCGTGTTCTTCGTCCCCGGGACCCGGACCCCAGGTCGCCAACTCCTGGAGGAGCATCCGGTCCTGTTCGTCAGTCCCGTCCTCTTCCCTGAGCTCGATCAGGCCCTCCTCCTCTCCGCAAGCCAGTTCGATCAAAGTGCCGGGGTCGCCTCTGGCGTCGTCCGCCGAACTCCTCTGGGCCTCCCACTCCTGAACCCTCTCGGCCACGGAGGCCGACTCTCGGAGCTCCACCGGCGTCACCCCGGGACCCGCGGGGATAACGTGGATGCGAGAGAGCAACCCGCGCATGGGCGACCCGGCTCGCCGAGTGTGTCGAGACGTCGATCCCTCAGCTGGTCGGGCGGCAGCTCGCGGAGATCTCTCTCTGGCTCTTTCAGGCTCGACTGAAGCTCCTGGATTCGAATCGCCTCGACAGCCGTCGATGGTCCTGACTAGACTGGGAGCGGAAGAGGCAGCGGGGGACGGGCTGGGACTGCCTTCTACTCGGGGGCGAGCTCTAGGGGGTTCTTCCAGGCCGGGAGGGGGATGCAACTTGTCCTCTTTGTCCTCGAGGGGTTCGGTCCTGACAAATCGGCCCAGGTCAGGAGCGGGACGGAGGGGGTACGGGGCATCCAAAGCTCGGCGCAGGTCCTCGGGAAGCTCGCTCTGGTCTCCCAGGCTCACAACCTCGCTGCTTTCAGGAATAGTCGGAAGAGGGGACCGGGCTTCCACCGAGGCTTCCGCGGGCTCCGAGGGACGAGCCGACGCCATTCCGCCTCCTCCGCCAGTAGTGACCGGTCCCCCCGCCTCGGCCCCTATCGTGTCCTGACCGTCCCAGGCCTCGTCCGGGGGGGAACCCTCGGATTCGACGTCCAGAGCCCCCACCTTCTTGCCTGGGTTGCGAACTTCGGCCTGAAGGGCCCGAAACTCCGGGGTATCCACGAGTTCGGCTCCGAGCGCCTCGGCACGCGTCGCCTCTCGGACCTGTTCGACCGAGCACTTCCATAGCTTGGTTCGCATCGCGATCCAAACTGTGGTTCCCTTGTGAAAGACGACGGCCCCGGGGCCGACCCACCGATCTCGTTGCAGCGCGTGAGTCTTCACCCCTGTCACCTTGCGCCACACGTACACCCACTGGCCAGGCAGAAAGACGCGATCGACATGGGGTCGAGATCTCCGGGCCTCGGCGAGACGCGACTTGGCGTCCGCCGCCATCAAGGCCTTCTTGGCCTGCTCACGGATCTGATGCTTTCTGGCGAACGCACTGGCCGCACTATCTTCCGTGGCGGCCTCTGCTTGGACATCTGCTAGGCCGATATCGTCTACTCCCTCGTCGCTGAGAAGAGACCTTGGCAGTCTGGGGTTCTCTCCGAAGACAAGCTGGTACGGAGAGTACCCAGACCGGTGGTAGTATCGATTCTTGGCGGACACTGTTTCATGAAGCAACAACTCGACCTCGGCATGAGACGTCGGCTGGACATGATCGGAGGCCTTCGTCAGAGCGTTCTTGATCCATCCTCCGTGTCGCTCCGCCCGGCCGTTCTGCCACGGAGACGTGGCGTCACAGACATGCTGAAACACGCCTGCATGCTCACAGCCACGGCCGAACGCGCCCAGGAATTCTGATCCTCCATCGCTGATGACGACCTCGGGGGGGCCAAAGATCCTGATCCAGCTCTTGTCAAAAGCCTCCCAGATATTCTCGGACGTCAGTGGTTCCCCGGGACCGAGCAGATGGCACAGCTGAAAGTTAGTGCCGTGATCGAGCATGTTCAGAACCGTCATCTTAGTGCTGAGAATCGTAACGAACAGACAGTCCACAGCAACGAGCCGATTGAACCGGTAGGTTCGGGGAACGGCGGCTCGACGCCTCCACGACGGTCGGGTGTGGCTGTCACACTGCTCGCAACGAAACTCGTGCTTGACGTATTCTATAACTTCGGGCCGAGCCTGGGCAACTTGCAGCATTTTCAAGAAGGCGTCCCTTGACGGGTGGCCCAGGTTCACGTGGGTCCGGGAAACCTCCAGGCGCTGACTTCGACTGATTGACCCGGCCTGCCTCCCCGCTCTCTGACTAGACCCGAGTCCTTCCCTCCCCTCGCCCTCCTCGGGCTCGTCGTCCGAGCCAAGGTCCTCTTGGGCTGGAAAGGAGGCAACCTGTCGGTCGATTGGTCTGGGGGATGGGACCCCTGTCACCCTTCTCTCGGCCAGCCACTCGGGATCCTCCCAAACACCGGACCACAGGGTTTCCTCCCGGTGCCCGAGGGCGACGATGCGAGCTGACTCCAGGATTCCCTCGCACATGGCCTGGACGAGTCCCGGGGGGTAGTTCTGGGCCGCTCGCGTGAGGGCCCTGCCACAGAGCTGACGATGCGGATGACTCCCGTCGCACCTGAGCAGGAGGGGCTGCAAAATAGACGCACGGTTAGTCATGAACCTGGTTGGTTTCTTGTTGGGCTCTCCTCCCTTCACGGACAAACCGTACTGGCAGAGATCGGCAACCCCCGACACGACGCTCGGCCGATTCAAGATTTCCCGCACCGAGTCCATTTCCCAGGAGCTGGCACCCTCGGGGTGCTCAAGAAGGAAACCACGGCCCCGACCCATCTGGTATTCGGCCACTCTAACGCACAGGGACATGAACTTGAGGCCGGCGGTCTCGGGGTCTGTGAGGTCGGTTCCCTTGAGTCGGTGCCAACTGGGACGACGGGCAACGGAGAAGGCCAGACACTCAGGGCTCATGACTATGACCTCGGGCCGATCTCGCTCTATGATACTCCACATCGCACGTTCCCCTGACGGAGACCCGAGATCATAGCCGGTCCGTAAATCCAGGCTCTTGGAAACGGGATAGCCCTGCCCTTTTAGGCTGTCCGCGACCCGTGGGACCGAAAAGAGTTCCAAGATCAGTTTGCGGCCGGATCCCAAAAGCCAGTCCTGGACGAGCTTCTTCCGCCGCTTCCGCTGCTTCCTCACCGGTCCCTCCCCTCCTGCGGCCAACACGGCGTCTCGGACCTCCCTGGGAACCAGGCACTCACTTTCCTGGGAGAAAACCAATCCTGAGATCGAGGGGGCCCGGCCAAGGGAGTATATACCTTCCAGCGGAGACGCCGGTCCAGCCGGAGTCCTCGAACTCGAGCCGGGCGGAGGTACGTGCGTAGACGCCGAAGCTGTCCACGCCTCTACGGTGGTGTGGTCCAGGGGTTCGTTGGCGATGGCGAGCTGTAACTGCCGCGCCGAGAAGTCTGAGGAGAGGGAGTCGTAGAGGGTGTTTCTTGACGCTCCTGAGCAGCGGATCCTGACCCAGTCCGAAAGCCACTCGCCTAGGTCGCCCGGGTCGGGCCGACGAACTAAGTAGCAGCCCTTTTGGGCCATCAGGCGGCATTTTTCTTCTGGATCGAGCCGGTGGGATTCCCAGCCCCGGGCCCTGGAAACCTCATCAAGCGTGACCGTCCGACCTTCCCTAGTGTCCCACCATATGCCCGAGGCTCTAAAGCTGCTGTCTCGGTGACTTTTGCCGAGACAGCGGGATCGTGCGACAGAGGCTGCTCGCCAGATTCCCCCTCCTTCCCCGGGTTCCGCACAGAAAGATCCTCCTGGAGTGGGTCCCTGGAGGTCCCGATCGTCCTGGATCCCCGAGCTCCCTTGGTCCCCCTCCCTGATCCTCCTTCGGCTCTCTGAGCCCCTCAGGTCCCCTTCTGCACGAGCTGCTGGATCGCCAGCGCCAGCTGCGATACCACCTCGCTGTTGGTCTGGATCGCCTTCATCATCTGGTTGAGGTCGGAGCTGCTCGTCTCTACCGTCGTGTCGGCCGAACCGGACGACGCCGCTGGAGTAGCCCTGGCCGCCCTCTTGACGCCCTCCTTGCTGCGACCCTCGACCTTCGGCGGCTCCCAAGGCGGCGTCTCCAGCTGCTTGGTCCTCGCCGCCCGCCGGGCCTCCCTCTCGACCTTCTTGAGCTGCTGGGCCTGCTTCTCGCGGTGCGTGAGGTCCCTTCTCCAGATCATGCTCGAGCACCTCAGGCACTTGACGTAGCGCATGTGCTGGTTGCCTGACTCCCAGTGGGCCCAGGGTGGATGAGGGCACTCCAGAGCGTTCATCTTCCCGGTCGCCTCGTCGCGCATCTCCTGTATCATCTTGGTCGCCTGTCCCACGTCGGCCACGTGCATCAGCTTGACCGTCATCCGCTTCCAGGCCTTCCTCAGGGAGCTCGTCTGGAGGCCGATGTGGGGCCTTGACGTCGGCTGGGGCGGCGACGGAGGTGTGGGACGGGTCGATGCCGCGCCGTCCTGCAGCGGCGGGGATGACTGTTCGCTCCCCTCGGACTCCAGGTCGGACCCCGGCAGCCTCTCCCAGCTGGTGTCCATCGGCTCCGAGAAGGTGACTGTCGGCCGGGGAGTCCCTGGTGCTGAATTCTTCCTCGAGCCCCCCTCTCGCTTCAGACTGGAGCTTCTCCTCACCGCTGGCGTGCGAGCTCTCCCGGACGCCATGGCTTTCTCGTGACAGAGGCTCCTGTTCTCTTGGCCCGTGAGATGAATCGAGGAAATCGGACGTGCTCTCGAGCCCACGGGTCTGTACGACGGTTGAGGTGAGCTCCGAGAGTAGCCTCCTGGTCTCTCCGCCGCCTCCTCTCCCTGTGCCACCTCCTCTGGTACCTGTATCCTCCTCAGCTTCTCCTTCTCTTGTACTTCGTGATCTCCCCGTAGTGCCTCTTGAGTCCTTGAATTGGGTATCCTGGAATCCTGCCGAGCCGATCCCCCCCTTCCCTTCTACGATCCCGGGGGTTTCGAGTTCGAGGGGGTCCAATACGGGCTCTCCTGAGGCCTCGGGCGTAGAGGAGGGGAGGATGGCAAAGGAGGAAGGCCTGTACACTCGAAACGTGTCATTCTCGAGGCCCGGCCAGTCGCGCCGGGCCCCCTCAGGAATGTCGAAGTCCCCCGGGAGGCTCTCGTCCAGCAGCGCCATGGTGCGATGGCCGGACCTCTGCCTCGTGAGCTTGACGGTGCGGTCGAGCCCCTCGAAGCGCAGCGTGATCTTGTCCTCGGCCAGGTTCACGACGGCCCCCAGGCTCTCCATCCAGCGCACGGGCAGGAGGAGGGGGACGTCCTCCGCGATCACTCTGAAGAGGATTAGGCACCGGATCCCCGCACTGGTCACCGGCACCATCGCTTCCCCGACGACCCTGGAGCGGCCGCCGATCCCCTTGGCGCTGCTGTTGCCGTCGGTCTTTCTCACCGGGATTCGCCAGCCCTTCTTGTAGTACTTCTCTTGCAATACCTTCAGCTGCTTCTCGCCCACCAGCGCCTGCCCGGCCGCCGTGTCCACCATGCCCTCCGGCTCGTCGCCCTCGATGTCCAGGATGAACGTGCCGAGGATCGCCTCCTCTGACTTCGAACGAGGCCCACCTGGCCCCAGCTCTCTGTCATCGGGAGCTGCTCCCTCTGACCTCGAACGAGGCCCACCTGGCCCCAGTTCTCCGCCGTCGGGATCGCCTCGTTCCCCCGCGAGTCCCACCTGGCCTCGCAGAGGCTGGTCGGCTAGCACTCGTCCGTGGCCCACCTGGCCTCGATCGCAGGACTCGCCGATCAGCACGTTCCGAAACAGCTCCCGAATCCGAGGCCCTCCGACGAGGAAGGTGCCGTCGCCCTCGTCCAGCAAGTCCGCCGCCACGTAGAGCGACTTCCCCCCGAGCTCCTTCTTGGGCCGCTGCTCGATCTGCTTCGGCTTGTACGGATTGGTGCACTCCTTGCGCCAGTGCCCCTTCTGACCGCAGTTGGCGCACCGCGTCCTCTCCTTGAGGCGGGCGATGCTGAGGCGCTGCTTGCCCGCTGGCGGGCGTGGCGCCGCCCGGCCTCCGGCTCTCTTGGAGTCGAAGAAGTCGCGGTCCCGGGCAATGGCCTTCTTCAGCTCTCGCGACTCTGCCCACTTCCGAGGCCGGCCCTCCTTGGTCCTCTTCTCGTCCAGCACCGCGGCCAGGACGGCCGCCGCCTGGTCCTCGTCCAACTCCTGGTTGGCGATCGCCTCGTAGAAGGCCAGCGCGTCCTCGGTGTCCAGGATGAGGTCCTCCTCCAGCTCGAGGTAGACCTCGCTGCTGCCGAACACCTCCTCGTCGTCCTCGTCCTCGTCGTGTCCGACCGCGTACACCCTCGACTTTTTCTGACTGCTCTTCTTTTTCACGTCCATCTTCTTCAAGCCCTGCTTGATCGACTCCAGATCCTCACGGCCCTGGGTGATCGAGAGCAGGTTGATCGCATTCTGTTCACTCAGGTTCGCTCCACTCCTCAGCTGCTGCACCTGGACCTGCTCTGGGAGCTCGAGCCCGTACCTCTTCGCCGACTTCACCTGCAGGTCCCGGCGCATCACGTACTGGGTGTACGACTCCCCCGCTCTCATCTCGGTGTCTTCCAGTGCCAGCCTGAAGCTCTCCTTGGCCTCGTCGCCGTCCTGGTCGCCCCGGCACCTCTTCAGGAAGTCGATGAGGACCTCGATGCCGCCGGGGGCGTCGAGCTCCTCCGCGTAGTGCAGGAGCCTCTCCTGCATGTCCACGGGCAAGCCGTCGATGACCTTGCCCGCCTGCTGCTCTGCCGGCAGGCCCGTCCTTCTGCTCCATCGCCGCAGGGCCACTACGTAGGTCTCGAGATGCTCGAAGCCTCCCCACGGCTGAGGGCCCTGCGTGTCTGACGGGCGCCACGTGGACGTCGATCCTCCGTCAGTGGGTGCCCACGGCCGTGGCGGTGGCGGAACCTGCGTCGCCTCGACCGTCAGCTCCGTCGCTGCTGCTGCGAGTGGCTGGGTCGGCTGCGCTGGGGCCATCGTCACCGCGGGCGGCCGTGCCGGCGGCGTCGCCGGCGCAGGTGCTGACGGAGGGGCCTGCGCCGTGGCGGGATCGCTCCCGGCCGCTCCGCGCATCAGCCCGTGGGGGAGCGGCGGCTGCCGCGGCCTCTGGATGGTGACCCAGACCTCGCCCTCGTTCGCCGGTGAGCTGGTCCACCAGTGGTCTGCATACTCATTCACCTGCGAGCCGGTCCACCAGCTGGCTGAGCCCCACCATTCTCTCCACGAATTCCACCAGCCGGCATGGTTGTTCCCAGCCGCGTCGCTCCACGGGTCCCCCTGCAGCCAGGGGTCTGCCTCCTCTGCTGTCGTTGCCTGCAAGGGAGCTCCCGCGCGGCCTGTCCCTCGGCTCCCGCTCCCTGCCGTTGCTGTCTCTGCTCGCGCCCCTTGGTCTCCGCTGGGAACCTCGGGCGCTGGTGCTGCTACTGCTGCTGCTGCTGCTGCTAGTGCTGCTCTGGCAGCACGCTCCACCTCGTCGGGCTGGAGGGGCTGCTCGCCTCCCTCGGCGGCGCCCGTCGGCCCCTGTCCCTGCCCAACCATCACGCTCCGGCTACCATGTGAAACGGGTTCGCGGGCGGATCGAGGGACTCTGGAGGCCTGGGGGCGCGCGGGGCGACAAGCGGGAGGCCCCTCTCCTCCCGGATGTTTTGCGCGCTTGAGCCACATCGGCGTCAGTACAGTCATGCTCGCATACTGTGGGACGCCACCCCAGCGACACTGGACACAGTGTCGCACAACTCGTGAAACACATCAAACTCTGAGAATACTCTAGGGGACCTCATGGGACAGGGGGTTGAGTATTTAAAAGACAGACCATCGAGGAGCACTCTTCACCCTCGAGCGAAACTGCGCGCACGAGATCGAGAGATGCACGGGGAACGGACGTCCGAGCGATGGCGAGTGGTCGTGCGCGGTCCCCCGCGCAGTGGCACGGCGTCGGCCTCTGCGGAGCCGTCTGTCGATCGGGGAGGCCGCCCGACCGTGCCGTGCCGAGTGCGCCCCGTGTCGGGTCGTCGGAGGCCAGCGCCCAGTCCTGCCGCAGCGAAGCACCACTGGCACGCCGCTGCTGGGGGGCTCGGGAGCACGTCAGCGACGAGCAAAAAGCGGATTCCACTGCGCCGACGTTCGCGCGTAGGTTGTTCGCGTGGTGTCGCGCGCAGGCGGTTTTTCGAAGGCAGATCTGCCTTCAAAAAATGGTCTACTCTGTAAGAACGGTTTTTTGGAGGCAGATCTGCCTTCAAAAAACCGTTCTTACAGAGTAGACCAGTCTTTCCTCCTTGAAGGCAGATCTGCCTTCAAAAAACCGTTCTTACAGAGCACGTCAGCGACAAACAAAAAGCGGATGCAACTGCGCCGACGTTCGCGCGTGGGTTGTTCGCGTGGTGTCGCGCGCAGGCGGCCCCGATTCCAATGCAACGTGCCGCGCATACGGTCGGCCCAGATTGGCAGGTCGGCCCTGCCAGCACAAGGGTACCGGTTGTGTCCTGTGCCTCGCGACACGTGCCTTCTCACACTCCAGTGGCGATGTGGCCCTCGGAAGGGTCTTGTGTCCTCTCGCGCGTCCTCTCCAATCGAGTCCGACTGTATGGGCCGCGTAAGCCGCGGCGTATGCAAGCTCGCTATTCCACCTCGCATAAAATCGGGGGAGCGTAAGACCTGGGTTTGCCGGGACTCGGGTTCGCCATCGTTTTTTGACGACCGCGACTCGGATTTTGACGAGGAGGAGTTTCGTGGGATGTCTGCAGCGGGAGGCCTCGTCAAAATGCAGGCTCGGCCTCGCCATTTTTTTGACGACCTCGTCGGGGATTTCCGAGTCCCCTGTACCCGGGTCTTACGTCCCCCCGATATAACATTGGCATGTCCGTCGCCCCTCAGACTCCTTTTGATCTTGTCCGAAGTCAGTGTGCTTCTGCAGCGGTGGCACGTGGATGACTGCCCCACGGCGGCGTGTCATTGATCACCACCCACCAAAGCACCCCAACCCAACCCGAAGGCCCAAATGTATCCTCGATTTCCAGTGGGGGGGGGTCGGGGAACGTTGAGAAAACACATGGTATCCGTACCCCCCCAACCCGAAATTCGGGTCAAATTCGGGTCTTCGGGTTGGGTTGGGGTGGTCTGGTAGGTAGTCAATTGACACGGGGAGTCACCATCAGCCCAAGGAGGAGAAGGTGCGCGAATCTCACTGTTCGGACATTCCCAGGATCTGCGCTGGACCCCCTGACGGCGCCTTTGGCGCCGCTCCAGGCTGGGGGGTCAGCGTAGATTAGAGAAGAACGTCGCGTGGACCCTCGACAGTGTATGTGTATGTCGCGTCTTGCTCCTTCAGAAAATGGCCACTGCCGCTCCTGGAAACCGAGGGTCTAGGAGGAGGAGGAGGAGGAGGAGGGGGAGGAGGAGAATCTTGGACGTGTTTCGACGTCGCTGGGAGTCCTGGGGGATTCGGGGGGGATCCAGGGAGGTCCGTGTCCTCGAGGAAGTGTTTGGCGACACCTTTCTTCGTAACCGCCTTTTGCCTAGCCTTGGGGGCCGACCTACAGATCCCAGCGTCGGAGAACATTTGCGGCGGCTGGTTGTTCAACAACGGCACTAGACAAGAATCCGTCCTTGGAAGAAGTAGCGATCAGATTGCGAAGCCAGAGGAGAAGGAACCTAGGCTGCATGAACATTGGTTTTGTTCCTTCTCGCGTCTTTCCACGATTGTTTCGGCCCCAGGGGGCTGGAGGATGAGTAGGCTCGAGGAGGAGGAGGAGGAGGAGGAGAAGGAGGAGGAGGAGCAGAAGAGGAGAGGAGGAGGAGAAGAGGAGAGGAGGAGAGAAGGAGGAGGAGGAGGAGGAGGAGGAGGAAGAGGTGGAGGAGGAGGAGCGAGGAGCGAGGAGCGAGGAGCGAGGAGCGAGGAGCGAGGAGGAGGAGGAGAGGAGGAGGAGGAAGGAGGAGGAGGAGGGAGGGGAGGAGGAGGGGAGGAGGAGGGAGGAGAGGGAGGAGGAGGAGGAGGAGAAGGAGGAGGAGGAGAAAGAGGAGGAGGAGGAGGAGGAGGAGCCATTTTCGGGAAAGTGGTCAGGAGATCTGTGACCGCGGACTGAACAACTTTTATCGTCGGGTGTCTGCGCAGCGGTAGGGGGACGGGAGGAGGCGAGGGAAGAGGAGCGGGGGAGGAGAGGAGAAGGAGGGAGGGAGGGAGGGGGAAGGAGGAGGAGCAGGCGGAGGAGGGCGGTGGAGGAGGAAGAGGACAAGGGGAGGAGAAGGAGGAGCAGGGGGGGGGGAAGGCTAGGAGCAGGAGGGGGGAGGAGGAGGTGGAGGGGGCTCAGGCTCACGCGGGGAAGGGGCGGAGGAGGAGAGGCAGGCTCCAGACGCAGTCGGCAGAGTGGGCCTGCACGGCTCGGCGTTCGGCTTGACACGCGCAGGGAGGCACACCACAATTGGAGACTTGCGGCCACATCCGGCAAGGCTTGCACCGACATGGTGACGTTCATGCGACAAAGAGCAGAAGGACTGTAATGGCTCATACCCTTGAGTATCGATATCGCCCTGATGAATCGGTCGTTGGGCACATGCCCTCCCATCTTTGAAGGCAGTGCCCGCGAAGGTTGGCAAGGCAAGCCTTTTGGCCCTGGAACCTGTTGCTACGATCGAGAGGAGGAGAAGGACGAGGAGGAGGTGGTGGCTACCCAAGTTCGTTGGAGTAGGCGGGAGACGAGGAGGACACCATGCTGGCTTCTAGGGTATTCGTGCTGTTCGCTTGCGCTGTACGCTTACAGCCTGCCTTGGTGCTGGTGAATCTCAAACAGTGGTTTTGCATTCACAGTAGGCGATCGTCGCGGAGCAACCCGTGTATGGGGATGACGTACATTGCCCACCGCATATTGTACATGTTATGCGAGGTAATGGTTTTTGTGGCCGTGCTGGCACTAGCTGTGCCACAGTCTTCAGTGGCACCAGAAGCAGGACCTGATTAGTAGTGCTCGTGGCATCGGCAGTGCGAGGAGGAGGAGCGGTACTAGCGGCACTCCTCGCAGAAGCCGCCCTCGTGGCGGCGGTAGGACGTGCCAGACGAAAGGGGGGGATAGGGAAAGCGGGGGGTACGAAGTCTGCTGCATGCAGCTGGTTTCGGCCCCGCCGCCGGGCCCATTCCTCGATGCATGGGCGCCTCCCGGCGCCGAGAGGCGCATGGGAAATCAGCTACGTGAGCTGTTTCTCCAACCCCCCCTTTGTTATCCCCCCCTCTCGTCGCCCGGCCCGATAGGACGTGCCAGTAGCGGCGGGAGCAGCCAGCAGCAGCCGCAGCGACGGCGGCAGCAGCGGCGGTGCGCGCGAAGAGCCCAGCCCTGCAGCTGCAGCAGCAGCGAGAGGGCGGAGCCCCTTCGCGCCTCGGCCTTCGGGCTCGGTCGGAGGCGACCGCCCTCGCAGATGTTGGCCTGGCACACCCTGCTCATCCCTAATTCTTCGAAGGTCCTTTTCTTCGTGGGGGGGAGCCAAGATCCTTTCATTCCGAAGTGTTCCGCCCTGGGCCTCTTCCTGGCGCCTCAAGGGGGCCAGGAGCCATTCGAAACAAGCACAGTGAGACATGAGCGCGATAAGAAATGAACGACGTGTACAGTGGCACCAGCTCTACCCAGGCTCGCCCTTGGGCCCACGACCGGTGCGCCCACACGTCTGGTGCGCCTCAGTTCGCTCGGTGCGTGGGCCCTTAGGACCTCTCGATCCCCTCCCCGGGGCCGGTTCTTCTCGTCCACAGTGGCACCAGTTCTGGCCAGGCTCGCCCTTGGGTCCACGACCGGTGTGCCCAGACTTCCGGCGCATCAATGCTTCAATTTGCTCCGTGCGTGGGCCCTTTGGACCTCTCGATCCCTTCCCCAGGGCCGGTTTTTCCTGTCCCGAATGGCTTGTCATCTGGGGGCCAAGAATGGCGACGGATGGGCCGCACGATTTTGCCTGGCCTTCTGGGCCAGGCCAGGAAGTCGCGCACACCGATCCTAGGGCGAAGAGTCGCCTGGCCCAAGTCGGTCTCAGCGTACATGACCGGGAGCGTTTGGCTCAGCGTGTCGCGCCACCGGTCCTGGCCCACCACGCTGAAGCTTGGCACGCTAAGCTCGGTGATCCCCAGGACGCGTGCTAGCCGAATGTCTGTGTGTGTCTGGTATAAGACCGAGGCTGTTTCGGGGAGGGTACCCTCGTGTTCTTCGTGTCTGATGGATGTTCTTGTGCATCCCTGGGAAGGGTTCCTCGGATGCTCTGTTTGTTTTGGCCATCGGAAAGTATCGTGTTCTTGAGGGATCTTGTTCTGGCCTAGATACACATTGTTCATTTCTAATTAT